CAAACAGAGGATGGACATTCAATAATTTTTGCTCATCATTTTACAAAATCTGAAACAACCATAGGGAGGTGAAAGGGGGACATTGGAGAGGGAAAAGATCCTTCTGGAAATGCCTTGAGTAGAATATCACAGATAGGTGGGGGAAAGTTCTCCAGATCTTTTTTCCCCCTTTCCCCTTTAAATAATTAAATCAAAATGAGGACATAGGAAGGAAGGAGATGGCAGGTAGAATCCAAAATGTCATTGAGCCAATCAACCTTATTGGAATTTACCTCTACACAATCCCTCAGTCTGGAAAAACTGTTGCTGCTCTACTAAACAGGATATGCAGAGAGGCTAGGAAGGAGACCAAAGGTTTTCCTTCAGTACTTTCCAAGACATCAATCATCTTTCTCCTGAATTTGCAGAAGTTTTTGTAGGGCCCCTTTGACCTCCTTGTTTCGAAAGCTGTAGATTAGGGGGTTCAGCATGGGCGGGACAATACAATATAAGATGGAGATCAAGGTGTCCACCTCTAAGGAGTAGCCCGCACTGGGACGGTTGTAATTCAAGTTGATCATCCCAAAGTAGACGATGACCGTAGTCAAGTGGGCAGCACAGGTGGAGAAGGTCTTTCTCCTTCCAGTGCTGGAACGGATCTTCAGAATTGTAGATAAGATGTAGACGTATGAAATGATGACGAGGAGGAAGGGGCTCAGACCCACAAAGGCGCTTGCTATGTGAAGAGTCATCTCATTGACATAAGTGTCGCTGCAGGCAATTTTCAAGAGTGGAGGGACATCGCAGAAGATGTGATGGATCTGGTTGTTTCCACAGAAGGCCAAATCGGTGGCCAGTGCAGTGTGAATGGCAGAGTCAACCATGCCCCAGATCCAAGAAGCTGTAGCCAGAGGGACTCGCACCCTAGTACTCATGAGTTCAGTATAGCGCAAAGGTTCACAGATGGCCGCATAGCGGTCGTAGGCCATCACGGCCAGCAATGCAGATTCAGTTCCCGCAAAGCTCATGAGGTAGAACATCTGGGCCATGCAGTCATTGTAGGAGATGGTGGGCTGCTGGCGCAGGAGGTTCACCAGGATGGTGGGGAGAGTGACCGAGGAATAGCAAATGTCCAAGCAGGACAGATGGCTGAGGAAATAGTACATGGGACTGTGGAGGCGTGAATCCACCTGGATCAAGACGAATATCATTGAGTTGGCCATCAAGGTGATGAGGTAGATGGCCAGGAACAGCAGAAAGAGGAAGGGGCGTCCTCTGGGCATGCCAGAGAAACCCAGGAACAAGAACTCGGTCACCTGCAGGGTCTGATTGACACTTTCCATGAGGTTCATCATGGAAATGATGTGTTGGACAAAGCTGGAACACCATGGAATTCAGGGTTATCTGCTGTTCTCAAATCACAGCATGAAGGAGAAACTTCCCAAGCAGGAGTGAACCTCTAGAATTCCCCAAAGGCCATCTGGAACAATGAAACAATGCTTTGCATGAATAAAAAAAATAATCATCAGTTAGGAGAGATGATTCTGGGGGTGTTTATGGGTTTAATTAAGTAAGTTTGCAAATACAAACCAAATTAACCCCTCCATTCAGCTCTTCCCCAAGGCCATTAGACACACATGCTATCTGTGACCAGGTGTTTCCCCATTTGCATCCCTTTGCAAAGATGCAGAATGGGAATGGTTGATGATGCACACAGTGGGGAAGGAGTCCACCGACTGGGTCTCCCCAAGTTCCTTCACCTGTTTTGCGGGCTCACTGAAGGGACTCATCCAGTCCAGGGGAGGGTGGCTGAAGGTAATAAGCCCCATAGAATTATGGGGAGTGAAAGTAATGAAATATTAATCGATGGTGCAGAGACAAGCTTGGGAGTCATTAGTAAAAGGTAAAGGTTCCCCTCACACATGTGCTAGTTGTTCCCGACTCTAGGGAGTGGTGCTCATCTCCGTTTCAAAAGCCGAAAAACCAGCGCTGTCTGAAGACGTCTCCATAGTCATGTGGCCAGCATGACTAAATGCCAAAGGCACATGGAACACCGTTACCTTCCCACCAAAAGTGGTTCCTATTTTTCTACTTGCATTTTTTACGTGCTTTCGAACTGCTAGGTTGGCAGAAGCTGGGACAAGTCACGGGAGCTCACTCTGTTATGTAGCACTAGGGATTCGAACCCCCAAACTGCCGACCTTTCTGATTGACAGGTTCAGAGTCTTAGCCACTGAGCCACTGCATCCCTATAGGGTATCATTAGGAGAGGCTCCTAATAATAACGGTGCAAATTCACCCAAGGAAAGTTTTGGTCGCAGCATTTGGGAGAATTTGAGCAAAGAATAAACGAATCAGGAATTCTACCTTTGCATGGTGCTTATCATGCGCAAGTGCGTGTTTGTGTAGCCCACTTCAGTTGTCAATGTAGCTCAATTTCTGGGTGCCCACAGTCCCCGAAGCCACCATCCCACCACTGACCTGGGGCATCAAAGCAGCACAAGGCCCTCTAGCCAAGGTGAAAACGAGACCGGTGTTACATGAAGGAGGAGATGCAGCCACTCGGTCTGCTTAGAGCCTTCTGGAGAGAGAGAAAGGATTTTCCTCCCTGCAGAGGAAGACTTCAGGGGTGTTTTCCACCCAATGTGACCTGGATGAAAAGGCAGAGGGGGAGGAGGGGGCTGCACAGGAAAAGACTCTGATCTTTGCCTCACTTCTGTCTCCTCCTTCTCTAGACCTTCATCAGACCTTCTCTGGACTTTCTCCTCCCCTCTGTGTCTTCCTGCTACACAGAATAACAGAAAAAGAGAGTTAGAAGGGACCTTGTAGGTCATCTAGTACAACCCCACCCCACCCCACCCCACATCATTTCTGACAGATGGCAGTCCAGTCCCTTCTTGAAAGCCTCCAGTGATGAAGCTCCCACAACTTCTGTTCTATGGGTTGATTGTTTCTCACTGTCAGAAATTTTCCCCTTATTTCCAGGTTGAATCTCTCCTGAATCAGTTTCCATCCATTGTTCCTTGTCTGGCCTTTGGGGGCTTTGGAAAACAGCTTGACCCTCTTCCTCCTCTCTGGGGCAGCCCCTCAAATATTGGAAGAATGGTATCATGTCTCCCCTGGTCCTTCTCTTCACCAGACTAGCCATGCCCAGTTCGTGCAACCGTTCTTTGTAGGTTTTAGCCTTTAGAATGAAAGCTTTTCTATTTTTTCCCCAATTCGTGTAGCTTGTTCAATAAAATACCAGAAAGGACCTTTTCTCCTTTTGAGGGTAGTGGGAGAGAAAGCTTAGCTCCACTAGGCATGAAAAAAGAGAGGTGAGCTTGTTCTCACCAAAAACATTTAATTTATGCACTTTCCAGACAATGGTTGGTGTCGAGGTGCATTTGAAATGGTTAGTGCATTAATCCCCCTCACACACAAACACTCTCTTTGCCCCTTGAGTTCCTCACCTGGATGAAGCTAGAAGGTGTAGCTTCTTCCTCCTTTCCTACTCCTCAGTAGACCTTTCTGTCTTGAGGAGGGTCTCAGTTACTTGCTCTCAGCCTCTTTCCAGCATTGGAGATCCCATATCCGCCCTGCATTCGTCCTGTGTGACAAATGCTGGTGAAAGAAGAGACACAATTTTTATGGCGCCTGACACGTCCCTGGAGGTGACTTGCATCACCAAGGAGAAAAACCGAAGCAGCTACATGCTTCTCACTAGAGAGCTGCTTATGAAAGCTTTGGAACTTTGGGATAAAGTTTGGAAGAGGAGAACTTTGACCAACAACCACAGAGAAGAGGATGGAATGAATGTCCTCTGGACTTATGGGAATAAGTCCAGGACAGAACCTTCCATGCCTGGTGCCTTCAAGTTGTATTTGCCTTCAGTTCTCATACTTCCTCAGTCTATGTCGCTGGGAAAGAGATGAGTTGAAATATTGCAGCAGGCTCTGAGATAGAGAAGGCCAAGGATGAATCAACCCAATTGATTGCCTTCAGAAGTTGTGGGAGCTTCATCACTGGAAGCTTTCAAGAAGACAGTGGGCTGCCAAATCTGTCCAGCATGATAAGTTAGTTTACTATATTGTTATTGCACCTCGTATATCGAAATTAAATGCCATGTTCAATCAGAGGTGGGTTGCTCCCGATTCGGCTGAATAGGTCATGGCAATTTGGCCTGGGTTGCAGAACCGGTGGTGACCCAGGCTGGCCACACCCCAAACTAGTTCCCTGGTCTCTTCTGCTGTTGCCAACATGTTTCTCCACATGAAACACCCATGAAGTGAACCGGTACCAATGGATATAGGAACCCACCCTTGTCTTCAATGTACATTATACATAAAAAATGAAACACAAGCACACATCCTTCGCATTCTATACAATTGAATTGAAAACCCTGATTGATACTGCATTAATATTGCACTATACCGTAGAGGTCAATATGGTTACTGCCCTGGGACAGAAGCTGTTTTTCAGCCTATTTGTCCTTGTTTTTATTATGTATAATGTAC